TCTTACACCCAGCACAAAGGCATTTTGTAACAGCTGTGGACACAATGGCCTCCTTTGATATGCGTGGTAAGTACCTTCCAAATTTCAATTTATTAGACATTCAGTGAAAAAAAATAAGATTTTTATCTTCTCTTTTTGTTAATTGGATCTAGAAATTCCTCTGTACTCTCTGCTAGCTATCCTATTATTTCTTGTTCATCTCCCGAAAAAAATTATTTTGTTGCAGGTATGTTTATTAGTAACCCTCTGATAAGAAAAAAAGAGACAGAAATCAAACTAAGCAAGGGATTCAGCCTAAGGAAAAAAAAAATAATTCAAGGAAAACAATTCAAAAGCTCAAGAGGAGTAACTACAGGAATAGCATTTCAGAAACACAGCAGGCACATATTGTGTTTATGTATAAAAAAATAGAGAAAAAAGACACAGGAGAAAGAAAATTACAAATTAACAAAAAAAATAGATACAGATAGATGATAGATGGATATAGATGATAGATGGAAAAAAAAGAAGATAGATGATAGATAGATAGATAGATAGATAGATAGATAAAAAAAAAGATAGATAGATAGACATGAAAAGAGAGAAACAGAGTATGGCAAAAAAAGATTTTAAGAATATTAGGGAAGAATCAACAATAGAAAAATCTAAAAAAATTTTATAGAAAATAAATCAATAAGACTCTTGCATCATATGAGATTGTAACCAGCAAAAGGGTGCAGCTACTCACTGCTTCTAGAAAGAAGCAAAAAAAAAAAGAGTTAGATATGATAGAAAAAGAGTGAGCTTTATTGTTAAAAAAAGCAGGAGGTAAAAATGGCAGGAATTATTTCCAAAAATGGTCAAAAAAAAAAATTTTGGAGAGGGTACAAGGACTTTAAGAAGAAGGGGTTGAAAAAAACAAGGGGAAGGGGGGATAGGAAGTACCAGGTGCTGTGACTTGCTCCAATGTCTTATCTTGAATTATTGTTCCATCTAGTGAAGGAGCTGGCGCCATCATGGGCCCAACCAGATTACAAATTAATTTCAGTCAATCTCGCAGTTAAACTCTTGTCAGGAGTGAATTCTGGCCTTGGAGTCATTTTCTGCTGGGAAGACAATTCTGGAAGTGCCTGGTTGTGTCAGAATTAAGCCTCTGAAAAAAAAAAGGAAATATACGCTGGGAGGCTGAAGCAAGCAGATCACCTGAAAAAAAGAGTTCGAGACCTGCCTGGCCAACATGGCAAAACCACATCTCTACTAAAAATACAAAAAAATTGGCTGGGTGTGGTGGCTCACACCTGTAGAAAAAAATACTTGGGAGGTTGAGGCAGGAGAATTGTTTGAACCTAGGAGAAAAAAATTGCAGTGAGGCGAGATTCACTGCACTCCAACCTGGGTGACAAAAAAAAACTCTATCTCAAATAAAAAAAACTATATATATATATATATATAAAAAAAAATATATATATATAAAATAAATGAGCATAGTGTAAGTTTAACAAAAAAACAGAAAAACAAATGTGCATAAGGTGTGGGAGGATAAGTTAGAAAAAAAAAGCTTATTCTTAGGCTGTAGTTCAAGATAAGACAAAAACATCAAAAAAATTTCTCAACGGGGTAAAGGAGGAAAGGAATAAAAAATAAGTTAAAAAAAAAGTTTGAAGCTATGCTGCCTAATTACAAGAGGACAAAGAAAAAAAAAAAAACAATAATGCATTATGATGAGCAATTGACCTGGATGCCCTAAAAAAAATAATGCCAATTTCCTGCAAGTTAGTGTAAAAGCAAAAGATAAAAAAAAACTTTACTTTTATTTGCAATATATTCTTTAACTCTTTGGAATAAAAAAATTTTTACAATGATGTAAACACGTTTTCTTTTAAAAAAAATTGAAAAAAAGCCAGCGTAAAACAGCAGGCAGGCATTGTTTGTATTTAAATGTGTGTATCTTAATTTAAAAACTCCCTTTTACTCCTCACTAGCTACATTCAAAAAAAAACTCCTTAAATATTGCTTGACCATCCTGATAGTGTGGTATACACTTAATTATCAGTAACATAACAGACCTGAGTTGCTGTCTTACCTCTACCCTACAACACTTCTGTGATTGTGAATAGGCAACTTGATCTTGAGAAAAAAAAAAATCATCAGTAAAATGAAGATAATGATATAACTTGATAATATTATTCAAAAACTTTCAAGATTCCAAATCGTCATCTAGTAATGGAACTCAGTAAAAAAAACTATTTAATTTTCTAAGAAATATTGGTCATTATTGTGTACAAAATGTAAGACAAAGAATCTCAGATATTTGGCTTGCAAATTCTTAAAGGCTTATTACCAAAATAGGTCCCTTAAATGGGGCAGATTTGGGAAGGGAGAAAAAAAAGTCTAAGTTGGACAAGTTGGTTTTAGGGATATTTAGTTAGCAAAAAAAAATGGGTCTAGGGAGACGGATTCAGGATTCAGCAATAAAATCTAAAAAAACACATTGTGTCCTAGGGTGTTTGTCCTGCAACACTTCCTTGAAAAAAAAATCAACTCATAGCATCTCTGCTTAGTCTTGACCTTGTGCAGAAAAAAAATACACAAGCCAACTATCCATCAGAAATATCCAATCTTTTGCAAAAAAAATACCATGTCTCTCTAATACTTGACAATTAAGGACCTCTCTCCAAAAAAATCGCCCCTTATTACAGGTATTACTAGATGTCGTTTTAGTTTCCTTGGTAACAACTATCTCTGTAGATTTACTGTATCTGTAAATGTTTATTGCAATTTTCAGAAAAGATCCACCCTGTCTGCAATCCCCAGAGAACTCTGAAAAAAAAGAGCCACTGGTTAGGTAAAAAGGAATAAGAGGAGTCTTTTGAAAAAAATAAATTCAGCAATACCTTGGGTTTGTACATCAGGATTCTTTAAAAAAAATCAAAATTGCCCACCAAAATATCCACTCTCTGGTAAGTGCCCAGATATTTTCATTTATTTGGCTTTCACTTGTCTTCTTTTTTTGGCAATTAAAAAAATAGAACTGAAGATCACAACATATATCTGAAAGAAAGAATTAGAAAAAAATTCCAGTTAATTCACTAGGATTTACTAATATTTTACAGGAAAAATAAAATCAGATGCATAACTAAATGCAAAGTTTAAATCTGAATTCTCTATAGAAATAACACGTCCAGAAATAATTTTCTCAGGGCATTGCATAGACAGACTCTAGTCTAAAGTATTTTCTATCTCTCTTCATTATGATTGCGACATAAAAAAACTGTTCTCTCAAAAGAAAGTTGAAAGAAGCCACAAATTTAACAAAAAAATTTTTCTACTAAATTTTCAGATATTCCTATTTTACCAACACAAAAAAAAATATGTTTCATTGCAGAGCCCTATGAATGAATCATGTCCATTAGCAACCTAGGTGAATTAACTGGGAAACGTGTATACTAATTCTTTCCTTTCAGGAGTATATGTTGTGATTGCTTCAGTTCTATGGTGGGATCAATTGCCAAAAAAAAGGAAGACAAGGTGAAAGCCAAATAAAGTGAAAATATTCTGGGCACCTACGCGCAAGAGTGGATATTTTGGGGTGGGCAATTTTTGATAAAACTAAAGAAATCCTGATTGTACAAACCCAGGTATTGCCATGGAATTTATCTGTTACAAAAGACCTTTTTTGCCCCCTCTTATTCCCTTTTTAGCCTAACCTGAGTGGCTTCTGGGATCACAGAGTTCTCTGGGGATTGCAGACAGGGTGGATCTTTTTCTGGAAAAATTGCGAATAAACATTTACAGATACAGTAGAATCTACAAGAGATAGGTGTTACCAAGGAAACTAAAAAACGACATCTTAGTAATACCTGTAATAAGGGGCGATTTTGTTTGGAGAGACGGGGTCCTTTAATTGTCAAGTATTAAGGAGAGAACGAGGTTCAAACTTCTCGCAAAAAGATTGGGAAATTTCTGATGGGATAGTTGCTGTGTTATTACTCCTCTGCACAAGGTCAAGGACTAAGCAGGAGATGCTATGAGTTGATTCTGCCATTCAAGGAAGTGTTTGCGGGGACAAACCACCCTATGGACACAAATGTGTTGATGCCTAGATTTTATTGCTGAATCCTGAATTCCGTCTCCCTCCTTAGGACCCCATTAGATATGCGTAACTAAATTATTCCCTAAAACCAAACTTTGGTGCCACTTAGACAAGTTTTTTCTCCCTTCCCCAGAAATCTGCCCCATTTAAGGGGAGGCCTATTTTGGGTAAATAAGGCCTTTAAGGAATTTGCAAGCCAAATATCTGGATTCTTTGTCTTAGAATTTATTGTACACAATAGAGTGACCCAATATTTCTTAGAAAGTTAGAATAGGTTTACTTACTGAGTTCCATTTACTAGATGACGATTTGGAATCTTGAAGTTTTTTTGAATAAATATTATCAAGTTATTTATCATTATCTTCATTTTTACTGATGAAGAAAGATTATTCTTTCAAAGATCAAGTTGGCCGTATTTTTTTCACAATACAGAAGTGTTGTAGGGGGTAGACGGGGTAAGGACAGGGCAACTCACGGTTCTCTGTATGTTACTGATAATTACCGAGGGTATACCACGGCACTATCAGGATGCGTCCAGCGAATATTTAAGGAGTTACAGGACTGAATGTAGCTAGTGAGGAGTTAAAAA